TGCTTTCTTTGTAATTCATTTTTGAAAATGGCTGTCGTTTTTCACAACTTAGTTTGATGAAAAATTATTTAGCAACAGCTGGTAACTTTTTTGGGGGGTTATGTATAATCTAAAACCATTAATTGTTTTATGAATTACGAGAGTTTGTTACTTAATACTTTAAAATGTAATATTTTAACTCTTTTTGGTACTCTTCTGTCGACGGAACCAGATTCAGAAATGTATGTATGTATGCATGCTTTGATACAACTTCTTCTGTGTCTTATTTAAAAACGCCCATTTCAAATTCATGCCAAAGAAGCATTCTATTCAAGGAAAAAATTCCTAGATTTTACATTTATAATACTGATGCTGATTTTATGGCCATATTTCAAAAGTAGTTATAAATTTGAAAATATAAACTGGCAACAGTGAATTCCAAAAATTTCTCTTTATGATGGCATTCTCCTCAGTTTTATCTTCATTTTGCATGTAATGCGTTCAAATGTTTAATGGAAGAAATCAAAAGGATTTTATGTGCAAGGTAGTTGAGTTTAGCTGATAGGTTAATTTACTACTGTTCATCATTTGACTTATTAACTACAATTCAAACCTTTATTTTTTTTTGGGGGGGAGGATAAGTATTACCATAATGTTATATACTTTAACCACAAAAAAGAGAAAAATAAATCAATTTTTTTTTATACAGTGGTACTTCGGTATACATCTGCTTTAAAATATGTCCAACATGGTATATGGATCCTTTAGACATGAAAACTTGCTTGATATACAATATTTGTTTGGAATTTGAGTTACAATATTGTATTCCAAACAAATACAATATGTGTTTGGAATGAGTCACAAGACTATGCTATGATTGTTCATGAATGCCAGTACACCTGTTGCTACTATTCAGTAAACAACCCACCCTATAACTTGAATTTTCAAGTCATTTGTATTTTTCACATAATTTTTTTGTAAATTCGTCAAAAACGAGTTTTGGCAAAGTTAATAAGAAAAGTCAAGCAATAAAGAAAATTGTTAGTATTGCCATGGAGGTGAAAAAAAAAGAGATCGTTCATGAAGGTGGCATGCATGTCTGCGACTGGCCTATTGCATACCGTTTGCCAACTACAATGATATTTATGATTATGAAAAAGAAAGATCCTTTTAAATAAGGAAACACTGCAGAGGAAGTGAAATTAATTATCATCGGAGCATGCAAAAAAACTGATTTTGATCTGGATAGCAGAGACTTTTATATACATACAATGTCATGAGCAGTACTTCATTTAGTTAAAGTATATATCGGGTTTTAATGAAAGTTTCCTGCCACAGCAAATATCACCTGCACAATTAGTTCATGTTGTTGTGTTTATTCATATTTTTTCAAATAATATTTTGGCATTTAAAAGAAAAACTTGCTTTAGAATATCCTGTTTTGAAATTTAAAAAAAAAGTATTGTTATCGATAAGTACAAGGTGTTTGAAACGTAATTATCACACTACCAGATTAAAACCATCATTTACTTCAAGTTCTGTTGCAAAAAGTCAGCTACAGAATGTCATCAAATCATGTCCATAGCTTTAGGTTGCATCATATGACACTGTGAAGGTATGGTACCAGAAGTTCAAAAAGAAGAACTATGACATTCAGAAGCAGAGTACTCTGGTCAGCATACCGATATTGATGAGGCCTGCCTAGAGGATTTGTGGAAGATCAGTATGCAACCACTTGAGAGCTTGCTAAGGAGTCAGATGTTAGTGCCATGTTCACTAGCTGTGCTATACATCACATAAACTCGATGTGCAAGTTCAATCGCTGGATGCTGCATGAGCTGATGTTCACTAGCTGTGCTTTGCATCACATAAACTTGATGTACATTTCAATCGCTGGGTGCTGCATGAGCTGACTCAAGCAGATAAGGGCAGACATGTTTAGGCCTGTACTAATCTACTCGAATATCAATGCAATGACAAAATTCTGAACCAGATCATTTCACCTGTAATGAAAAGTGGATTTACTTCAACAACACAGGATGAAAAGGGGGTTGGTCTGCGACCGGCGAGCCTGTCGGCAGGCAGCATTGCACAGAGGAATTTTACTAACAAAAAGATCATGCTTTGTATATGGTGAGACTGCTGTAGTATTATCTGGAAAAAGATAAAAACCCTCAACAGTAAGGTGTGCAGCGAGATGCTAGTCCGTGCTGATGCTGCTATCAAGGAAAAATGTCGAACTGAGTTCTGGCAATAAAAAGTGATGTTCCATCAAGATAATGTAAGACCACATGTGTCTGTATTCATCGCCTGGACTCTCTACAGACTCAAATGGGATATTTTGCCATGCCCACCATATAGCCCCAACATTGCTCCTTCGGACTTCTACCTTTTATCACACCTACAGCTACATCTTGCTGGTGCTATGTACCATTCTGCACAGGATGTCTGAAATGAGGTTGATCTGTTTTGGACTCGTGGCCACTAAGTTTCTTGGACGAACGCTTTAGAAAACTACCAAAATGTTGACAGAAAAATCATAGATTTGTTTGATGATTACAACCACACTAAAGGTACTGCTTTTAAGTTTTTTTTGTCTAACTTTATTAAGAATGCTTTTTTTGGAAAAACTTTCATTAAAACCATCCATTTAACCCACTGCATTTGCATTTTAGTATTAAACATTGTTATAGTATTAAGAATAGGATCTTTTTATAAGAATGGATTCATTATTTTCCCTTTATTTTAAGTCTGTTTGGTGTATGTCCAAGTATCTGGAACAGATTAATGGTGCATACCGAGGTACCATCTTGCAGCTTGAAAAGATTAACATATTTATTAGTTTATAAAGTTAAAAAAATCTTTAAATGAATTAAAATCATTAAAATATTCAATTACGTTTTGGATATAGCTTGCTATAGAATAAATTATTTTTTGTACTAAATTTTCACGTTGGGGGAAAATTCTAGTTTTTTAAATACTCCATGTTTTTATTATTTAATACTATCTGTTCTCATTTATAGTGTGAAAATTTCAAGAGTTTTCCACATAAGCAGTTAAAAATCCTAAATTTGATATTTGAAGCAATCTGTACATTTTTGACAAAGAGTTGTATAAAAACACATGTTCATAATGGTATATTTTCCTGTACATCAGCGATTAAAATACTCAACTATTCAATATTTTACTCTACAGCTATTTTATTTTTTAAAATATTATTTTCATCACACTTTACTCCCTGAATTATTTATTTCTATTTCATTAGATGAAAAATTAATATAAACTTTAAAAAAATAACATATAAAACATACAAATACAAAAAAGTATAAATTCACAGATTTTTTTTACAAATAAAAAGAAAAGTTTCATTTCGACTTGAAAAAATAACTTGGCAATAAAATTTTAATAATAAATGTGCAAACATTATTTTATGAAAATTTTAAGCAACAAAATGCGTGTTCTTTTGGTGAGCATGCATATGTGATTTTTGTTTGAATGACTTAAAGCATATGTTGCATTTGAATGGACGCTCACCAGTATGAATAACTATATGAGTTTGTACATTATATTTATTAGAAAATGTTTTAAAGCACACCGGACATTTAAATGGTGGTTTAAAACCAACATGTGATGCTATGTGAGTTCGTAATTCCACAGCAGACATGGAAGTAAACTGACAAACAGGGCAATATATACGTTCCGCAGTATGCTCAGGTGATTTTGTGATACTTCCAAATACAGGAACACATTTCCCCATCCATCCATTATCTTGTTTTGAAACTACAGAAAAAAAAAAAAAAAAAAAGTAAAAATAATATAACATAATTAAGACATGACACGCCGAACAAATAATAATTCAGAAGTCAAACAACAAATGTGAAAATATAATGCTGATTTTTGTTGTTTGACTTCTGAATTATCAATATCACATATTTAAACAGATGTAAATTTGAATTAGCAAGTACTATGAAATACAAACAATTAAAAATGTTTCCAGTCATACAATTCTCAAATATTACACAGTGAACCTAGCATTGATTAAAAAAATAAATATATAAAACAGCAAAGCTTATAAGAGTCTAAAATATGAATTCATTATTATATTATAATACTACAGATTTATAATACATACAAAAATAAAGGAATATTTAGATATATAAAGAAAATAGGCACTGAATTATATTTTATAAGAGCATTCTACAAAAACACTAATACCAATGCCAGTTCAGAAAAAAATATAAGCAGTATGTTAAATCATAACATTGCACAATAAACATATATTATTAAGAAATAAAGAATTTCACAAAATAAATCGAAACAAGTTATTATGATCCGATTCAATAACTTTCGTTGAATAAGTTAAAAAGTTTCGAAATCTAAAAACACAGAAAGATGTAATGAATTTCGACTGACAAGAAATGCTAGATGCGCTTTAAAGAAATTTATTTAAACTTAAAATTCCGGTAATCAAAATTTAAAATAATATATGTAACTTAATTAGATACACAACACATATGAAAGAAAACTTAAACTATTTTATAAGATCGCTGCAGTGATTTTTTAAAAAAGAAATTCTACATGTGAAAAAAAAAAATGACAGAAAAACTGACAGAAAAATTAGTTGTGTCTTTTGATGCACAAGAACATGGAGTCTTTCTGCACAGAAGTAGACTAAAATAAAAAATTGATAAGAAGGCTATAAAACAGCTAATATGATTACTACTTGATAATAAAATTTGGATATCGACTTTATTATTTTAGCAGATTCAAGCTCTTTGTGGTTCGTATCTAGTAATAATTATTTATACGGTTAGGTAGGTACTAGTTAGCGTAAGTTTAAGATAATGCGACTAAAATGAAGCAACTGGAAATTTTTAAATACATCTCTTTAAATAAGCATTTCAAGATATACAAATAAGCATAAATCCTATATTACGAAACTAAATTCTTTGAAGAAACTAAATTCTTCGTGTGCTTGCAGTGCGGCTCTTATCCTAAAATCTTTATTTTCGTCTACTTATTTGGCATCAACATTCTTTTTGAAAAACATGGCTGCGTTCATGAGGTTGTCATGCTTTACCGCAAAAGTAAGCTATAAAGATGATGCAATTACTTCCTTGTGAAAATGTATATGTAATGTATAAATGCACAAATTAATATATTTTGCTTATATAGTATACGTTTCTAAAATCTTGTATTTTGCTCCTTTTGCAAATGAAATTGTGTTTTCATTCATTTTTTTATATTTTAGTTTAGATCTTTTCAATCTTCCTCTTAAAATACTCTCACTTCGTGGTTATAATAATGTAATATAACATAAACTAGAATCACTAAAGGAGAGTTCTTTACTTTTTAAATGTGTAAAAAGGCAATTTATTTTATCCTCGTATAGATTATGCACTAAAAGCTGCGCCAACTTTAAAATTAAAGTTTAATAAGTAAATGAATATGACTAATATATGTATTACATTATAGATATTGACGTCCACCTTTAGTATTCATATGGAATTGGCAGATATTTTAGCATTTCATTAATTACTATATTTACAGTGTCAGTAAATTATTTTTCTTTCAGAAATGATATTTATTTAGAAATTTTCCTGTCTTCAGTCAAACAAAATTCCTTAACAGCATCCAAAAACTTCCTAAAATTATATGACCTAGAATCTGTGTACTGGCGTCGCCACATAAATTTACAAAGAGTCAAAAATATCCTTCGACTTTTGACCAAACCCATCTCCTTCCTACAAACAGGACACTTATTATGGCTACTAAGTAAACCTTCATTTACACACCAGTCAATTAATGTTCTTTTCCTCTTTTGTTTCAAGGAATACAGAAACTTCAAATTAATCCTAGTACATTCATTCATTGTACCATTTAAACAATGAAACAAGCTAGCAACTTCCTAACCAACACACACCACAAGTCCTTACAAATCTTTTCCCATAATTCAAATTCACCGCAATCACGAAAACAATTATATCATAATAGGGTTTCCATAACATTCATCCACTTAGGGTACCATAAATAAAACAACTCTGCAATAATACAAGGGGCACCCTTAAATCTACTCTAATCAAAATTGCTTCATTTGTCTCCATTGATAACCTGTTTCTTTTATCTAATCATGGAGTTGACACTAAGGAAAATATTCTCTCCACATTTTCATTCTTTTATACATAGGCTTCATGTTCGCTTACAATGCTTTATTAGACATAACTTCTGATCATTATACTTTGTATATGCAAAAAACTTTGCATATACAAAGCTTATATAGCTTTCTCTTTAAAAGCTTCTTCTTACAGTACAAAGTCCGAAATCCGGACTCGTGGGGACTTCAGCGATTCCGGATTTGGGATTTTTCCGGATATTAGATCATTAGTTTAACTGTAGTAAGATGACATGTAGAAATTATAAAATTAAATATATGAAATCGCGATTTATAAAATAATAAAGTATTAAAGATCAAAAGGGTATCAAAATTTACAAAAAAAAAAAAAAAAAAGCTTAATATTTACCTTATTAAACATTTCTTTCAATGTAAGTTTAAGTTGCTCCATTTTTTTGTGCTGATACTTTCTCTTTAATTATGTAGACAGACATAATCTCTTGTTTAGTTACGTTGTTGAAGTCCTGTAACTGCTCTTTCGAAAATTCCGACTAACTATTCAATTGAAATTTTTTCGTTTTCAGCAAGTTCTGTGTCACTTTCTTCACTATCGGTAGCTGCATTTTCTGGATCTAGAACCATATTACAGATTTCTCCATTCATTAATCGATTGATGATTGAGAAGCATTGTCATCACAATGAAAAACTTCTTTTATATTATCTTCATGTATCATCACAATGAAAAATTTTTTATATTATCTTCATGTATTCTTTTATATTATCTTCATGCTTCTCCATATTTCTTTACAAAATCCGTTAATTGGAAAATTTCACCTTTTTTTTGTGATATCCAAAAACCTTTAAAACTAGCAACTGTCATCATCAAATTTAGCTATCCTTCACTGTACATATTTGGGTATGCATCATGAGCTTGGCAACTAACAACAAGTTATTGCATTAAATTTTATCTTGCTTCTATTGTGCACCGAGACAATTAACCATGAAGTGTATTAGTTATTTATTATACTTATGTCTATTTCTTGCACATGTTTAAGGCTTATTAGAGTTCTGAATAAATAAATTCCCACATATACTTAAGCCTTATTGTGGGCCGGCGTTAGATATCTTATTGCCTAATGCAGTCTCTGTGGGTCCTAAATTTTGCAACTTGGTGCAGCCATATGAGCCCTGGCGCTGGTTCTGGGTTTATGTGAATACAAATCTGTTATTCTTAATTCAAACAGGCCCTAAATGTAATCTTTTGGTCTATGAGTATCATCAACAAAATCTATTTTTAGCATATGGAAAGAAATTTTTGGTAAATTTTTCCTCTTCAACATGTTTTAGCACATTTAACTTAACTCTGTAATCATCGCCAAGCATAATATCAACATAAACGTTACCATACTCCTTTATTATTCAATTACTAACATAGAAAAAATTGTTTAAGCATGGCTACATGAGTCATTACTTAAACTGTCATATTTTGATAAACATGTTGTGATGAAAGGAAAGTATAATAAATAATGATTTGCCAGGTTGGCGTCATATCAGCGATGTATCTATGTGGAATGTTTCGGTTTGAGATGTTGTGCCAAAGCAGATACGCAGCAATGGAGTCAAATTACTGATCGTACAAATTTATGCTAAAATAACTGTTTCTTCAATAACAAGGTATTGGAACAGCTTTAGTATAGGTCCTTTTGGCGAAATTTTGATTTGGCGACAAAATTTTGTTGCCGATGCAGACCCGACAATGACGATTGGAAAAAATGGCGGATCGTCAACACAACCGTTCACCGAAAAATATATCTGGACTAAATAACATTCTTAAAACATAAGCTCTTGATTATATACTCCAAAAATTATCAAAGTAAAAATACCGTTTCGGGACTTGGTAAAAATAAACTATTGATTATATTGCATAAAATATAACATTGATGGGGAGGATCGCCAACGAAACTAAATAACAATCTTAAAAAATAATCTCTTGATTATAATATTGCACAAATTATCACATTTATGGCGGAAAGCCAACACAAATTAGATCTATAATAAATAACAATCTTAAAAAATAAACTCTTGATTATAATATTGCACAAATTATCACATTTATGGCGGAAAGCCAACACGAATTAGATCTATACTAAATAACAATCTTAAAAAATAATCTCTTGATTATAATATTGCACAAATTATCACATTTATGGCGGAAAGCCAACACAAATTAGATCTATAATAAATAACAATCTTAAAAACTAAACTCTTGATTATAATATTGCACAAATTATCACGTTTAATCACGAGTACAATGGAAATCAAATGTAAACATGAAATTTATCAAATCATACCCCACTAAAGGACATACCTAAAATTCTCCCAATTTACTTCCCTGATAATTTCCAGAAATGCAATAAACGCATTTATATTCTTCTCCTTGCACGAATGCCTAAACATGTACACAGCTAAATAAAAGGAGAAGTCATTTTGTCGATTATAAGACGGCAAAGAACTTTTCACATGCCTCCATGTGCTTTCCATTGTGTTTGTGTGACACTCTGTCACAGGATCCTTAAAATGGATCGAGTGATTCACGTTTAAGTGATCAAAACCTTCCCTTGAAATAATGTCGTATGCCTTCCAGCAGTCACTGTAAATTAGTGTACCCGGTTCTATCCATTCTCTGATTGCATTTAATAATGTATCCTGTGTTCGATCGGGTACTGCAACTAGAAAAAACTTACCTGATCCTCTCTCAATCCCGCCAAAAACCCACTGACCCTCCACCCAATGCCCTCTATGATACTTCCTCTTGCCAAATTTAGATTCGTCAATTTCGACGATTTTTCCTACACCACCTATTTTCTCGGATGTCAGCTCAACGTGATCGAGAATCACTTCATTAACGAACTGACGCCAATCAGTAAGAGTAGCTGACGAGAAGCCAAAATCATCAACAATATCGCACGTTCGCGTCCCCCTAACTATTTCAAACGTTAAATGAAATATCTCTTCCAGCTTCAGCTTACTGCATGAAAACCAAGAGCCATATCTATAGGACTTTTGAGCCCCACAAACCTTTCCTTCGTTAACTTTCCTACAAATCCAAGCACAACCATCTGAAACGGTCTTTTTAGGACCAAGCTTCATAAGCCCTCCACACTTCAAACATACTAAATCGCTTTTCACTAAATCAGCTTCCCTCAAAAAGTCAAGAAATACATCCCTGTTGTTACACAAAGCCGTAACAAAATTCCTATTTGGAAACCCCTGTTTCCCAAAAGTTGGATTGTTATTGGAATAAGTCCAACTAACCGTACTCTGTAGCAAACCCTGATACTTAATAAACACACTTAGAACGGAAGGCATACTGACAAAATAGAAAAAACTTACCTGAAATACAAACCATAAAAAATAATAAAAATCCCAATCGAACGATCCCGCGCTCACTGCACAGAAAAAAGAAAAAAAAAAAAGGGGAGTTCTGAACTGAAATCACGGACTCCTGCTTTAGGATTACCATAAATAAAACAGTAAACAACAGGGTTACCATAATTTGTCATTAATCGTGCGAAAAGAAGTCGCCAAAAAGGACTAATACTAAAGCTGTGCCCAAGGTATTTTATTTAGTGTCGAAGGGAAATTAAGAATCAGGACTCTCCAGATGTTTAATTATGTATGGAGGGGGAATTAAATGCGCATGTGTAAAGCCTATGAGAAAATGTTGTTGGTGGTTTTGAGGTCCGGATGTTAGATCATTCCAGATAATGGACATTTCGAACTTTGTACTGTAGTTTATTCTGAAAGTATATATTATTGAACATCATTTATCGATTGTTGGTAATTTTTGAATGCTTGAAAATTTTTGTAATGCTGTGTATGACTGAGCTGATAATAATAATTTTTTTTAATCATTTCATAAGCTATTGTAAAAAAAAATTCAATTTGATGCAAATGTAATGTGAATAATTATTAAACTGATTTATTTTGAAAATCATAGTGCATGTCCAACAAACCCTGAAACAAAGTAATGCAATGTAATTTTTGGTTATACAGTCAAAAGTCGTTAATTCGGACACCCATAATTCGGAATGATCTATAATCCGGACCTCAAAACTAAAAACTTTCTGCGCATGCGCCGCGTTGACACATACGCATAGGCGTTTACGCGTGCACGTAAGACCTTTTACGACTGCACATATAAGTGTGTGCAAGTGCAGAATATGTTTTCGCGTGCGCATTTTATGTATAAGGGATGTATAAGCTAAAATTATCTAATTATCTATTTCAGTTAATGTTGATGATTGCGTTGTTCCTTAATTTTCGAATTGGATCCGGCTTATTATTTTTTGCAGACTGTAAGAGCAATTTTATAAAAGTAAGCTTTCGATTATATCAAATAGAATTTCCGATATATATTTGTTAATATGTAAAGGATCTAAAGCAAAAGTATGTTTTGAAATCCGAAATCTGTTTATCAATTTCACGCTGCTCGGTGGGAGGGATCGCCGCGGCGGCGGGCGCGTAATGAATTGGAAGTTGATCTGTCAGCACTATCCTTATCCTCAGCGCAGATGTTTTTATTTTATTTGGCTTATAATTCCTTACCAAATGTAGTATTTCATCTCGATATGCTCTGTCTTTGATATGATTTAAAACAAGTTCCCTCGTCATTATAATTCCCTTTCGATAGCAAAGAAAGTAACAGAGGTTACTAAAAACGAAAAAATTTCGATTGACAAATTAGTCGGTGTTCTCGACACAGCAATTATAGGACTTGAACAGCGGAACTTTGTAAGTGAACAAGAAATTACGTCTGTTTAATAGAATTAAAGAGAAAGTATTATCACATGAAACGAAGCAAAACTTAAACAACTTACATTGAAAGAAATGTTTAATAAAGTAAACAAATAAATATTAAGCTTTTTCTTTTTGTAAATTTTGACCCTTTAGATCATAATTGTTCTTTATTTCATAAATTACTGTTTCATATTTTTAATTTTAGAATTTCTGCATGCCATCTTACGAGATTTAAACTGATGATCTATAATCCGGAAAAATCGATAATCTGGAATCGCCGAAGTCCCGATGAGTCCAGATTAACGACTTTTGACTGTATAAATAAATTCTGTCATCTTGCAGAGTAAAGAAGGAGAATGCGCGTAAGACCTTTACCGCTGCGAATTTGCGTGTGCGCGTGCGCAAAATACGTTTACGAATGCGCATTTAATGTATAACGGACGGAATAAGCTAAGCTAAAATTATCTAATTATCTATTTCAGTTAATGTTGCAGATTGCGTTGTTCCTTAATCTTCGAATTGGATCCGGATTATTATTTTTTGCAGACTGTTAGAGCAATTTTATAAAAGTAAGCTTGAACTTTCGATTATGTCAAATAGAATTTCTGATATATATTTACTAATATGTAAAGGATCTACAAAGCGAAAGTATGTTTTGAAGTCCATTAAACAAAAAGTAGAATTGCTGCTGCTGCAAAAAATGGATAAAGGCATACCCTTTGTTTATGTAAACTTTAACGTTTGTTTATCTAAACATTGTTTATCTTTAACACAGGGCGGCATGTACTGAATTGGAAGTTGATCCAGCACTATCCTTATCTTAAGAGCAGATGTTTTTATTTTATTTGGCTTATAATTGCTTACTCAATGTAGTATTTCATCTCGATGTGTCTTTGATATGATTTAAATCAAATGCCTCGTCATTATAATTCGCTTCGGATAGCGAAGAAAGTGATAGAGGTTATTGAAAACGAAAAAATTTCGATTGACAAATTAGTCGGTATTCTTGACACAGCAATGATAGGACTTGAACAGCGGAACTTTGTAACTGAACACGAAATTATGTCTGTTTATAGAAATAAAGAGAATGTATTATCACATAAAAAACGAAGCAACTTAAACAACTTACATTGAAAGAAATGTTTAATAAAGTAAACAAATAAGTATTAAGCTTTTCCTTTTTGCAACTTTTGATACCCTTTAGATCATAATTGTTCTTTATTTCATAAATTACGGTTTCATATTTTTAATTTTATAATTTCTGCATGCCATCTTACGAGATTTAAACTGATGATCTATAATCCGGAAAAATCGATAATCCGGAATCGCCGAAGTCCCGACGAGTCCGGATTAACGACTTTTGACTGTAATACAAAGAGAAGCTATAAATGAGAGCTGTCTAACCAGGTCATTATTATCAATTGTTATGTATTGCTCATCATTAGTGTGAATTTAAATATGCAGTTATAAATGTTTGAGATTTATGTAAAAATTTTGATTTTTTAGTAAATCATTTGTGTAACAGTTAAAGGGAAATTGAATGCTTAATATCAAATGTAACTTGGCCATATGAATTTTTTTATTATATTTTACCATTCAAAATTTTAATCACATGTATCTTTAGTTTTTTTGTCATTTTATTATATATTGTTGCATTATGTTATTCTTTTGTTTAGCTACGCTTAAACTGCAGTCTTCTAAGAGCTTACGCACATTCAGAAGTCTTGAAAGCACAAAAATGCCATATCTGTCAGGTATTACTTTTATATATGTAATCTTAACAAAGTACTGAGAATGAAACCCTTTTTTTAAAGAAAATCAGTTGTTGCACTTTTTGTTATTATTATTAGGACTAATCTTTGGAATATGGTAACGGGTAGTTTGGCGACATTTTGGTAAGGCGATAAAAGTTACTAGCTAGGACTTTAGCAGTGTACATGGATAAAGTCAAGAGTGTGCGCAATGCCATTTTTGTGCAATTCTGGGATGTTTTTTTAAGTGAAAATAGGTCGAGGTGTACATGGATACCGTGTATGTGCAATTCTTAAAAACGTAGCAAGCAGTTTGCGATTCTGTACTTTCTCTCGATTTCGCACCTAATCTTCGCCATGATTAAGTATTTTTGTTCCATAAAAGTTCTAGTATAAGCGTAATTCGGCTAGCAGATTGTTGGAAAAAGTGTTGAGGGGGGGGGAAACATGCCTTTACTTCGTGAAAACAAAATGGCATCCAAAACAAAACTAGCAGGTTGCTGTAGCAGCATTGGTTGCCAAATTTTCGCCAAAAAATCGCTAAGTTACCATAATCCAAAGATTAACCATTATTAGTTATAAAAATAGGTTGAACTTTGGATTATGGTAACTTGGCGATTTTTTGGCGAAAATTTGGCGACCAACTCTGCTACAGCAACCCTCTATTTTTTTTTTCGCCGCCATTTTGTCTTCACGAAGTAAAGACATGTTTCTTTTCTTTTTATCTACTGAACACTTTTTCCAACAATCTACTAGCCGAATTACACTTATGCTAGAAATTTTATCTAACAAAACTGCTTAATCATGACAAATATTAACTGCAAAATTGGGAAAAAGTGCACAATCGCAAACTCCTTGCGCGTTTTTCAGAATAGCACATACACATAAACCATTTACACGTCGACTTATTTTTACTTAAAAAAACATCCCAGAATTGCACAAAAATGGCATTGCACACACTCTTAACACTATATCCATGTACACTGCTTTTTTCTCTATTTTCTCATAAATTAGAAAAATTTCACGAAAAAATGACAAAATTTCTGAATCTTTAAACCGGTAAAAAGAACATATATGAAATTACCTGATCGCGAAAAAGTATATACCCTTTCCAAGGATGAACATTTCCACATATAAAATAAATAAAATATCCAAAAACTTTACCTCTACCTCTAAATTATCTATTATATTATAAACGTCACCAACGAATTTATACCGCAAACATTAAAAATAGTTACAAATACTTAGTGTCAAATATTCAAATTATTTCCATACACGTTTACTTCAACTGAAACGTATACCAGATTCCTACAAACATAAAATTCACAAAATAATTAACATTTAATTAAAATATCACTAAACCATGTACACGTTGACTTATTTTTACTTAAAAAAACATCCCAGAATTGCACAAAAATGGCATTGCGCACACTCTTCACTACATCCATGTACACTTCTTTTTTTAGAAAAATTTCACAAAAATGCATGAAAATTTTGTGAATCTTTTAAGCTCGATAAAAAGCACATGTATGAAATTACCTCAGCGCAAAAAAGTACATACCCTTTCCAAGGATGAACATTTCCACGTATAAAATAAATAAAATATCCAAAAACTTTTACCTCTAAATTATCTATTATATTATAAACGTCAGCAACGAATTTATACACAAACATTAAAAATAGTTACAAATACTTAGTGTAAAATATTTATTTCCATACACGTTTACTTCAACTGAAACGTATACCAAATTCCTACAAACATAAAATTCACAAAATAACTATCATTTAATTAAAATATCTCTAAACCATGTACACGTCGACTTATTTTTACTTAAAAAAACATCCCAGAATTTCACAAAAATGGTACTGTGCACACTCTTCACTATATCCATGTACACTGCTTTTTTCTCATAAATTAGAAAAATTTCACGAAAATTCATGAAAATACTCAACGTATACTACTCAAACGTATTCCAAAATACTACAAATGTATAACTCACAAAATGACAAATCATTATTAAAATTAAATAATAAATTAAAAAACACTACTTAAAATATAAATAAGCACATAACTTAAATTAATAAAAATTAGATTACAATCCTAATTACTTTAAACTAAATCATTACTAATAACAATTTTCCAATAATACCATATTAATTTATTTACTCCTTACATTTAGAACATTGCATAAAAATAATATCCTCAAATGATTAAAAATACTAACTTACCTAATCTTCTTCAGAATCTTCATTACGTGGCACGCACAGTTCCCTACAGAAAGAGTTCCAATCGGCTGCAGTACTAATTTCTAAATCCGAAATCCAGTAGTCAACTGGCAGTCTATTCACCAAGTAATAAGAAATTAATAAAAGTTCACCCATACTCAAACTACTTTCAGCAAACCACATACCCTTCCTTACACTCCGTTTCACAAAATGTCCATTTTCACCAGATTTCTTGCACCGCTATTCCAACTTATCTGTAATTTTCTTCCTTTCACACAATCTCAACTTATTATTATTATCAGATAAACACATTAAAAATTTAGAATTCACTTTACATAGCGCCATGCAATCCGAAAATTAATCAACACTATTTCACACAACACACAATGAAGCTTAATACAAAATAATTTTTCCAAATTAACCCCCTTTTCCGATTAAAGAACTGTAATTCGTCCATTAATGTCACATGACATATCTCATGATCTCTCATTTCCTTCGCACAAAATAATGCGTAATCAGAACTGAGTACTTCTCACATTATTACCAAAGTCCTAGGTAGTAACCTTTATCGCCTCCAAAATGTCGCCAAAGTACCAGTTACCATATTCCAAAGATCAGCCTAAAATTATTTTGTTAGTTTATTAGTTATGAAATTACTTATTAATGCATCTTTTTTCTTCATTAACTATTAGATATAATTAAAAACCAGGGCATGTATAATGTACGAAAAAATTCAAATCAAGATGGCTTTAGAATAGTTTGTTAACAGTAGTGATTTTTGGTTAGATGTATGCTTATAAAATCTAATAGAATTCTGAATCGAGTGGTTTCTGTATAACTTGATTAAATAGAAACATTAAGCTTCAAAAACAAAATATATAATTTTATTTTTAATCGTTTATGTAATTAAAAGAATTATTTATAGGTCCGTTTTTATTCGGCTCCACCCCAGAAGAAGAGTTTTTTCTCTCAGGTGGTCGAAAATATAAAAGAAGATATAAATCGCAATAAAGAAATGAAGGTAATCTCTAAACTCTTTAGATATTTATCATTATTTAATTGTCATTGTTATAATGAGAATAAAGAACAATGTTATATTTCTGATTGTGAGCATATTATATAAATATCTGAAAATTTTGTCAAGATCTGGCTTAAATTATTGAGAATAAAAATCTAGATTAAATAAAATAGTAGCAGGAATATGCATCAGATATTAAAGGACTGTGTGCTTGTCTTTCAGTGCATCTGTGTTTTCATATAAAAAGTAACATCAGTCAAAGGTTGATTTTTGTCCAATTTTAATTTGGATGAATATATGCTTCTTTTCCATATATTGATAGACATATGTACAGGGTAATTCTAAATTATTTTTACAAATTATGACGGGTGATAGTACTCATTCAGATGAGCGATAATTACTATAGAACACAGAGTCGCATTCCACTCTGAGAAGCAGAAAAGAGGAGTATTAGAATTCCAACTTGAACAGTATTGGGAGAGTGAATGAACGAGACCAAAAGTTGCACAATCAGTTTAGTGAAAAACTCGCAGAGTGCACAAAATGGATAAAACCAAGAACTTGGCGTTCGAGTGTTAATTTGAGCTCAGACTTTGAGGGCAAACACTCAAATACACATCTTTGGTTGGCAAGGTCTCAACTTCGCAAACGATTGCAACAATTATCTAAATTATTAGAAAGAAATTATTTATTAGGTAGAAAAACTGCTACCTTCATATCAAGGTAGCAGTTTTTTCCCATTTGCCATGTTCTTTCCTGTCCTCCTGGACTTATTGTGCTGCGCTCATTCTACTTGAAGTGCCCTTCTATGAGACACGAAGTTCTGACAGCTGGAACTTTTCATGCTAATCTCGGCATACAGCGAAAGTTTGAGTTAGTTGATAATATTCAACCCTTGATTGGATAATGAATTTTTTGCAATCGTTTGCGAGGTTGAGACTTTGCCAACCAAAGATACGCATTTGAGTGTTTGCCATCAAAGTCCGAGCTTAAATTAACACTCGAATGCAAAGTGTTCGGTTTTATCCATTTTGTGCACTCTCTGTGAGGTTTTCAGTAAATTGATTGTGTAACTTTTGGTCTCGTTCATTCCCTCTCCCAACACTGTTTAAGTTCAGGTTGGAATTGTAATATTCTTTTTTTTCTGTCTCTCAGAATGGAATGCTCTGTGGTAATTATTGCTCATCTGAATGAGTACTATCATCCCTATTAATTTGTAAAAACAATTTAGAATCATCCTGTATATGCTTTTCTAATATGTATGGTATTTTATGACTATTTGCATCCTCACAAAAAAGTCATGGATTCATTTGCGACTTTAGAAAGCAGTCATAAGTTGGTTGGTGACTAATTTTTTGCCAACCTAACGTGTTGAACCATTTTCAAAATGGTAAAATGCTAAAAATTCCATAGAAAAGAAATCAACAGTAAAGTGTAAAAGGAAGGAACATCAATAATAAATGACTTACTTTTTTTAGAAATCTGGTAATTTTTTTGCACTGTTATTTTTTTCCAGTCGCACAGCAATTTTGTTTTCTCTAAAAAAATCAGAAAATTACATAACTCAATACTGTGCACGATTTGGCTCCGTGCCCCGATCAATAACAAATCAAGTGAATAACTTTTGTAAATGGGATACAGCTATTTTCAAATCAATTTCTGACCTGCATTTTAACACTTTGCATGCAACTTTTCACATTGTATCTCCATTAAATTTGGTAATTTAAGAAGTTCAGCTTCATAGAATGTGAATGTCTGCATTCTCAATAATTGGGTGAAACACTGTTTCCTAACAAAATTAATAATTTCAGAAATGCAATTTTCTTTTTCATTGGTTGGGAAACTCTAAACTTCCATTGAGAATTGTTACAAGAAAAGCAAATATACTTAATGCAAGAAGAAACAGAAAAATGACGATAGAATTTAAAAAATGATAATAAACAGATGTATGTTGTGTGTGTACTTGAAATGCCACATGAATATTTTTTGGCGACTTATTGTGTTGCCTCATAAACACTTTTTTGTGACTTTTCAGTGAGGTTGCAGGTAATCAGAATGTACCAAATGCATATTCACACTAGAAGAATCCATACCATATTCAGTTTTTAAATTATTGTCATTTTCTTGGTTTCTATTTCTTAATCATTTTCACTTCATTTAGGAGCTAACAAGGACATGAAGTCTAATCTTCAGTTTCATGCATATTGATAAATTTATAAATTGCATAAAACATATGTTATTCAGGAATTTTATATACAGAATATCTCATATATGCTTATTAATTCTTTAGAATGATCGTTTTCTTAGTTTAAACTGTTTTTGGCTATGGAAATAAATATAATATTGCTAAGCAAAAAAAAAAAAAAAAAGTATTTTATTTACATTTACATATGCATATTATAATATGCTAAACTGTTGCTTTCATTTAAAGTGATAAATGATCTTTTCTTTTTTAAAGTTTAATTTCTTGATAAAAGTTGACCAAATATGTTGCTGCATTATAAGTTTTATATCAACTGATGCAAATTTATTGCTTTGTTTTATAAAACATAAGATATATTAAAAACTAAAAAAGCAGTTTCTTTTTTTGTTGCTTTTATAGCATTGTAGTAAAATATTTACCATTTAAATCTAGCAGTACTCAAGTTTTTTATGGAAGTATTTTGATCTCTGATGCTTCACATCTGTAAACTGCTATTATTTATCAGGTAACTTTTTTTTTTTTTTTGCTATGACTGGGGCACAGGATTCTATATAGCATATAATCTGCTGCATAAAAAATTCTGACCAGAAACTTACAAACCATGTTTCTAGTTTCAAACATTTATACTTCTAAATTTTTATTAGATTGATAATATATACTGATGCATTTTCTTAGGTAATAGTGAAAACCCCTCGATTTCTAGAATTTATATTTTAAATAATTTACTGAAATTTTTTACATTTTCAATTGACGTAATTTAGTTACTTTCAACTAACTATTTAGATGCCATGATAATTTTAATTGAGAGAAGCCATCAACAAATGCATGATTATGCCTTGGAAGGGGAAGATTACTTCATTGCTTTGCAAATCATATATTTAAGTAATTTTTTTGAAAAAATTTACATATTTATCTTTAAAGAGTGAAACAAATGATTAAATGCAAAAATAAAAATGACCAAGTTTTAAACTGGCTGATTCATTCTTATTTTTTTTTCTGTTCTTTTAAACAGTTTTTCACTTGTTTCACTTGTTCTATTTTTTGGTGTCCTAACAATTATTCTTTTGAATTAATTGCTGCATATTATGCTGTTTCTTTCATATCTAAATTATGCTGGAGAAAGTTCATAAATTAAAAAAAATACTTTTTAGTTATTGAAAGTTTTGAAGTTAAATGTAAACTTAAGAAGGCATGGGTTTCCTACATTCTTGAATACATTAGGATATAAGAAATTTGATTGTGTGCTTGAACATGTTGAGTAAAGCATGCTATCACAAAAAAGAATGATTTGGAAATTTCCAACCAACCTATTTTTTTCTTGCGAGATATCAGCTTAGTCATCAAACATAAAATCCTAAACTATGACAAAAAATAGAAAAATGTGAAACTCCAATTAGAGTATTGGGAGGTGAATAGATTCGTCTTCGAATTGATGACTTGAAAGTTATAGTTAATAGTTTTTTAAAATCTGAGACTGAAGTTTGCACAAATTGTAATGTTGTTTTGTAAGTATCTCATTTTTTATTAGGTTGTCAATCTTAAAACAGTTCGTATGAAATATTTGAAAGCTTTCAGATTTTATATTACGCCCAAAGGTTTTCAGATTTTTTTTTTTTTTTTTTTAAGTAGTGTTATTGAGTATTGTGTTAGTTACTGACAGAAAAACATTGTGTTAGTTACTGAAAGAAAAATTGGTGATTCAATTCACACCCCTTAGACCAGAGTTTCTTTAAATTATGGATCGTAACCTCCATGGCAATTAGCAGTCGCGGGACCTGCAGAAGGGGGTTGCCAAAAATTTTAACAGTTTTGATATTTCTTTAACTTATTATATTATAGTAATTTTACAATTGCCAAATAGTTTTACACAATATATCTGAAAATAGATAAAGATAAAACAATACAGACAAAGAAAAAACAAAAATGTTTCGACAAATTCTTTTTATAACATAAACATTCATTTTACTTGATTTGCACGTGGCGCTGTCATTTCGTCTGTTACTTATTTAAAATTTTCACATTGTTCTATGTTGTAAAATTAAAGTTTATGACCTAAAAATGCAATAGTTATATTACAGTGCAAGTGAAAAAAATTGACTGTTTCACTCACACATGTGTCAAATTTGTACAATGCTTATGGGGTCCCAAAAAATTTTTGTAAATATTATGGTGTCCTGGGGGGTCATGAAAAAATCTGTGATAAAAAGGGGTCGCGACTGAAAAAAAGTTTAAGAATCCCTGCCTAGACCATAGGTTCTCAACCTTATTTTGCCCACTGCCCACCTTGAGAATATTTTTTTTCTCCCCCCCCCCAATTTTTTTACTTGAGAATTTGAAACAGCTATTGTCACGATTATATTTAAACGTATAATATTAACCGTATGTGGCCGCGATTAGTAACATGGAGCCGATTTCTCTTTTTAGTTACCAACATTGCTACAGCACTAAATCCATGTTCAGCTAAATAGGAAGATCGGAATGCTATCAGAAATCGTTGAATAATCGACCATAATCCTGTGTATACTTGCAGAATCGGCTTCTGCAACCATAATTCTTGGTAGCCGTTCTTAAATTTAATTTTAATTCTTCATTTATTACCTGTTCTGTTAATTCTTTTAACTGGGATGATCCTGTTGTGCTGACATTTGAAAAACGATCCAAAATGCAGTCTGGTATGTCCATGTTTAGAATGTCCTGGAATCGTTCCTTCAAATCAGTGTGGTGGTTTGTTGACAGTAAACAAGCAAGTCGTCGTGCTTGAATGATATTGCTTACAAATTTGGGAAGTTATTGAATTCAC